CACCCAGCGAAGACCCTGGGGGCTGAGGGTGCTTTGGTCCTGGGAACTTCAAGGGAGGAATGTGGGTCTGGGACTCAAAAGCTACGAGAGGACAGAGGAGCAGTGGACAGAGAGGGACTGAGGAGCCTGGAGAGGGGTCTGTCTTGGAGCCAGCAGCACAAGCCTTATCCTGCCGAGCAGCCTTGGTGCAGGAATGCTGGTGGGGCAGGAGCCCGGGGCACAAAGATGTAGGGGAGGCTGTTTCCTGATCTGATCAGTGGAGTTCCCACATCTCAATGGTTCATTTACCTCCTGGAAAGCTTCATGCCTAGTAGTGGGGTTCTGGAATAAAACAAGCCCGTTCCTGCTGACGTGGAGCCTTGGCGTCTGAGTACAGTATAATCAGGCAGAGTAAGGGGAGGACAGGAGGGGAGCAGCTCAGCAGGATGGAGAGGGAGGTGGGGGGCACATGGTGCAGACCCAAGTGCTGAGCAGCGCCACACTTCCTGGGCTGTGCCGCAGACGGAGTGGGAGCTGGGGAGGGTCTCTCTGTGCAGGAAACAGACCACAGGGTAGGGGGTGGAGGCCCACGAGGAGGCCTAATACTCTGGCCTGGGTATTGGCAGAAGGGAGGGGAGGTGGGGAGGGAGGGTGCAGGATGCCCTGGACGAAGCTTTGACAGGCCTGACTGAGGGCCTGGGTGGCAAGGTTGGGGGGATGAGGAGTTGGGGTGATATGGCCAAGCTTGTGGCCCAAGGTCTCGGGAGGACAGGGGCCGCAGGCTGGGCCGGTGCTGGCCGGCGAGCAGAGGCTTGGTGATGGGGGGCCCTGGGCCACACGGGGGCAGGAAAGCAGGAGAACACAATACAACCAGGAGAGTGGAGGGCTCAGCCACCCCAACCTGACCCATCCCCAGGCCAGGGAGGTCCCAGGTGTGAAGGTCTTCCGCTCCTCAGCCACCATGTTCTTTGCTAATGCTGAGCTCTACAGCGATGCGCTGAAGCAGAGGGTGAGTCCGGGGGTCCCCAGGGTGAGTGTCAGAGGCTCCCTCACCTCCCCAGAGCGTCCACATCCCCTTCCCTGACATTTGCCTCCAGTGCGGTGTGGACGTTGACCACCTCATCTCCCAGAAGAAGAAGCGGCTCAGGAAGCAGGAGCTAAAGCTGAAGCGACTGCAGAAGAGTCTCCAGAAACAGGCAGGGGCCCCTTCAAGCCAGGGATTCCTGCCCCCTGTCCTGCTGCTGAACCCACGTGCTCTTCCTCCTGGCCTGAGTTCTTGGCCTCACTTGTCCCTCCTTCCTCCCTGATGCCCGCCCCCCCCCCCGACCCTGCTGGGCCCCGGCTTTGCTCCCCCGGCAGGTCAGCGCTCTGGGCAGAGTTTTGTTTTTCTCCCACCTCCCCCCAAGCCAGTGACAGCATGGACCACCACGGTCCTCTTCCATTTTTGGCTGCTCCTGGAGCTGGTGAAAACCCCACCACCTCCAGCCTGGCAGCCCTGGGTCCCAAGCTTTAGTCCCTGGCCTGCCTAGCTGCCCAAAGCCTGGGGGTGATACCCGACTTGCCTGGTTGGCTGTCCTATGACAGCTGGGAGAGCTCTGTCTCGTCCCCCTTCTCTCCCCGGCCTAGACTCCCGCCTCCGAGGGCACATCTGTTTCCATCGAAGTCAACACCAGCGTCAGAGACGTGGAGAGCAACAACGTGGAGGACGCCAAGGCCAGGGTGAGGCTGGAGGTGGGAGAGGGGGCAGCCAGGAGCTGCAGAGATGTGAGTGGTCCATGCATGTCCTGCAAGGAAAGCCGTGGGTTCGAGCTGGTCGTGCCGGGGGTGGGGGGTGGGGGGGTGATGGATCCAATGCCCTCTGGAGAGAGGCCTAGTGATCTGCCATAGATTCTGCTGTGGCTCTCTGGCCTGCCATCCAAAGACGTTGAATTTGTAGAGTCCACAAGATTCATGGGTAGAGAGAAGGGATTGGGGGTATGGGGGAAAATATGGGATCAAAAGGGACGCCAAGCTCAACTAGAGACCCAGGCGGGGTGCCAAGCTGTCTGTGTGTGCTCACGTGTCCCTGGGCCCCCTACCCGCCCCACCCTGGCTGGCTGAGGATGGGACGCCATCACCCAGCACCCCACCTTCTTAAGCGCCCCTAGGCCTGAGCCCGGGAGATAACAGAGCAGTACACGCACATCTGTGTGTGCTCCCTGAGTCTGGGCTTCCTCTCCTGTGCATCCCCATGTGTCTCTCCCGTCTTTACGTGCAAGAGGCTCCTCCATGATGTCCGGGTTTTCATGTGTCCCCTGCATGTCCTATATATGCGGGTATTTGCATGCATGCTCCCACATCTGACCCAGTGTGGCCCTTGCCTGTCCGTGTGTGTTCTTTGCCATCACCCCTCCTGGACACCTTTTTCCCAGCAGGCGAGCACAGGGAATGAGCTAGAGGATACAGCAGCCGGCGGTCAGGAAGATGCTAAGGCCCCAGATGGGTCCACACTGAAGGCCCTGGGCCTGCCTCAGCCACACTTCCACAGCCTTGTCCTGGACCTGGGCGCCCTCTCCTTCGTGGACACTGTGTGCATCAAGAACCTGAAGAACGTAAGGGGCTGGGGCACCCCTAAGAAGAGCCCTGGGAGAGGACAAGTCCCCTTAAGGCTCCTCACCCCATAACTAGACCCAAGAGCCCCTCTGAGCTCCCTCTCAAAACTCCCTCCCCCACAACCTGCCTGAGTCCTTCCTCAGAGCCCTTGAGCCTCCCTCTGAGCCTGGCCCCCTTTTCTGTTGCAGATTTTCCGTGACTTCCGAGAGATCGAGGTGGAGGTCTATATGGCCGCCTGCCACAGTGCGTGGGGGGGACAGCATGAGTGGTCTGGGAGGGGAGTGGGGCTCTTTCAGCCAGGGAGTCTCTGCCAAGCAGCACAAGGAAAAGTCTTTCTCTGGGACCGGAGGTCAGAGGTGTCTTGGGAGGCAGGGGTCAAGGGTCAGGAGTGACTGGAGGTTTTGCTGTCACCTCAGGGGGTAGAGGTCATGCGCGAAATGGGTCAGGGTGTTCTGGTGACTGAGGTTGGGGGTTGGGGTTCCTGGTGGTTCTGCGAGCCAGGGGAGACCCATTCCTTGCCCACAGCTCCTGTGGTCGCCCAGCTTGAGGCCGGGCACTTCTTCGATGCTTCGATCACTAAGCAGCATCTCTTTGCCTCTGTGCACGATGCTGTCCTCTTTGCTGTCCAACACCCGAGGTCCGACCCTGCCAGCCCTGTTTTGGTGAGCTGGCCTCTGGCTCACGGAGCTCTTTTTGTTTGTCTACTGCTTGTCCCTGTCCTGACCCCCACCTCCAGAAAGTCCACCCTTCCTGAATGGCTCTGCCCCAGTGGACCCACTGCCTTCCCTTCCCACCTTCAGCTGAAGCTGCTCCCAGGAGCAGGGGTTGCTGTCCGGGGGGAAAGGGTTGATATGTGTTTTTGGAAACTAACTGGAGCCTCCCCTCCTCTGCCTACTCAGATGACCAAACTCTGACCATGCCGCCGCCCTGCCTGAGACTGCTCACCTCTGCAGGTTGTGACCAGGCCCTTGTGAGAAACTCCCTGCCCCTGGGCTGCCTCCAGATGTCACCCAGGAGTCCCCTCCATACACACACACACACATACACATAACTCAGGGATGGATGTCCTGGGTCTCCCAAGTTCAGTGCTATAGGCCTGGGCCTGGGATGGAACACTGGAGACAGACTGGCTGGGTTGGGGGAAGATGCATGTTTTTTGCCCCAGAAATAAAGACCTGTTTGCCTGCCACCAGGCTTGCTGTGCCTTGGCGTGGGTTTGGTGGGGTGGGCAGTGATCCACAGCCCTGACTCCTGACTCTTCTTATGCCCCAAAGTGGGGGGCTGAAGTCAGAAGTTGTGGCGGAAGATTTGAGGGGGGCAGAGTCCGGTGAGTGAATAGAGAGCCAGCGGGAGAGTTATGGGGCCCAGGCCAGGGTGGGGGCACCCCAGGTTCAAGCTCCCCAGCCACGCACAACCCTCGACGCCTGTGTCTTCAGCTGGAAGACCGTGGAATCAGACCTGCTTCTCAGGAATGGTCCCAGTAAGTGCAGCCCCTGGAGGGTATAGAGTAAACACCTGAGCAACCAGATGGGGGAGCATGGTGTTCACAGGCGCTGCTGGTCTGTGTCGAGAAGAGAAGTAAGAATGCCTAGGGTTGACTTGCTTGGGAAAAAGCCTGTTCATATCATTAGGTCACTTGGGCTGTGCAGGTCACTGCCAAGAAGCATATGCTTGATTTCTACCTTAAAAGGTCAGCATCTGGGTGTGTTGCCCAGTGGGCAGCAGTAGGCCTTCCTTCAGGCCAGCTGATGCTCTGAGTGAGTGGGGGTGGGGGGCTAGAATCTTTCTGGGTCTCCTCGGCAGTACAGTGGGAATGGCAACCTTACCCACTTCGTGGGTTGCTCCGTGAGTATTAAACGAGGTAGTGCCAAGGAATGCTTATAACAATGCCAGGCTCAGGGCACCTGGGTGGCTCAGTCGGTGAAGCGGCTGCCTTCGGCTCAGGTCATGATCCTGGAGTCCCGGGATCGAGTCCCGCATCGGGCTCCCTGCTCAGCAGGGAGTCTGCTTCTCCCTCTGACCCTCCCCCCTCTCATGCTCCCTCTCTCTCTCTCTCTCATTCTTTCTCTCAAATAAATAAATAAATAAAATATTAAAAACAAAAAAACAATGCCGGGCTCCTGTTACCTGCTCAGAACACATGAGCTCTGCCGTCCACCAGGTACAGACCAGGTGCCCCCCTCTGTGCTGGGCAAGTGGACAGAGGCTGTCCTGCCCTTCAAGTCACCGAGGTGCCCGTTGTCCAGCTCAGTGTTTATCGTGTTTGGCAGCGGCATCCTGCTCTGTGTTCATGAATCATCGGCCCCACCCCTCCCCCCCCAACCACAGCCCAGGAAGTCAGGGCTTTTTAATCTACTCTGACACGCCATGTCCCTGCATCAGAAACAGTGCCTGGTGTGTGGTGTGCTTGGGAAATAGTGGGTGAGTGAAGCTTATGTGCCGGAGCGGAGGCCAGACCTCAGATAAGAAATTGCAGATCATTAGAACTGCTTTGAAGAAAACGAAACGGGGTCACACGAGAGGAGGGACTGCGTTGCCCAACAGGGGCATGGGAGAGAAGCTAAGGGAGCAGGTCACACAAGCCGTGAGAAGCAGAGCGGAGGACTGTGTCCTGCCGTAGGAAACAATTGTGTTCGGGAACACCAGGCAGGCGTGCACGAGGCCAAAGGGAGGCCACGGCACGCAGGACCTCCTGGGCCAGGGCGAGCCTTCAGGCTTTATTCAGAGCGCTTGGGGGCCCCACACTTGTGAGGGTTCACCCTGCCGTAATTTGGACTGGGGTAGGCTGGGTTTTGGGGACCAGCAAGCGGCTCTATGCTGGACAACAGCCTTAGGAGCTGTGAGGTGTTAAAATTTTAGGGATTGAATGTTATGGGAGGAGGAGGAGGTAGGGAGAAGGTATTCCTTCAGTCTTGGACTGGCTAGGAGATTGGCACCCAGGCCTCAAGCCTGCCATCCCCCTCGGCCCTGGGGGCTTCCCCGCCCCGCTGTGTTTTCTGGCCAGGCTGCCCCTCATGAAAGGCCATGGACCCAGCTGGAACCTGCTGCCTGCCGCTGGGGGAGGGGTGTTTGCCCGTTGCCAGGCACCCGGGTTCTATCCGGGCATTTGGTGCCACCATGCAGCTCGCACCGTCCTTCCTGCTCCTGCTGCCCCTGCTGGCCCTGCCAGCTCCCTCCCACGCCTGGTCTCGGCCCCTGTGGTACCAGGTGGGGCTGGACCTGCAGCCCTGGGGCTGCCAGCCCAACAGCCTGGAAGGTTGTGGGGGCAGCCTGGGCTGTCCTGGCCACTGGATGGGCCTGGGGATGAACCGCATCTACCCTGTAGCCGGGGTCACGATCACCACGACCATGATGCTGATGTTGGGCCGAGCGGTGCTGCAGCGGCGGCGCTCCCAGGCTTCTAAGTCTGAGGTGAGCGTAGCACTGCTCTGCCCGCCGCAGCCTCCTCCTCCGCTGCTCACACCCTGTGTTCCTACATCTGTCCCCACCCGTCAGCCCCTGACCATTGCCTGTGGCCAGTACTCTGTCCCCATCTGTCCACCCTTTCACTATCCCTAGTCCTCATCCAGCCCCGTGGCCCCCGTGACCACCCTAGCCCACAACAGACCCTCGGTGACCCTCCATCCCCAACTCCCTTGCTGTGCCCTTCTCCCTGGCCTCCTTGCTGCCCCTCACCACACCCCCATTCCGTCCCTCTGCTCTTACTCCTGCCTCTCGGACCTATCCTCAGCATCCACAGGTGACCACTAACCTCCCTGGACCCTGGAAATGGCGGACCCCGATCTCAGACCACGCCCTGCTCCTTGGTGTCCTGCACATGCTGGATTCCCTCCTGGTCCATATTGAGGGCCACCTGCAGCGTATATCCGCCCAACAGCAGACCCAAATAAAGGGGACTTCCGCCCAGAGTGGGTGACCCAATATATGCCTCTCTGCCTGTTGGCCAGTCGGAGTGGGGATGGCCCGAGACTCTGGGCCAGGCTCAGGCCTGTGTGTGTGTCTTCTCCAGGCCTGCCTGGACCCTGTGTCCTCTTTCTTCCTCTGTAGCCGGCAGACTTGAGGCCTCCGTGCCCAGTGTGGGTGGGCAGATGGGACTTGCTCACACTGCTCCCTTGCCCCTACCCCTCTTCCCTAAGGTCTCACCCCCAAACGTACCTGTTCCTCGGGGGCCCCAGTGTGGTGGGACAAGACTTGACCATCAGGGCAGATGTGGGTAGTCCATGGAGGTGACAATGGCTGAGTCAGTGAGGGCTCCCAGTTGGTGATGTAGGGGGTCGGGGGGGTGTGTGGAGGGTGAGCCCTGGCCTCCTTCATCTTTGTGGCAGCCCCAAACATGCTCTGGCATCTAAGTGGCCCCTGCCCTAAGACCTCTGGAAGTGGAGTGAGGGCTGAACTTCACCCCCTCTTCCCTTCCTTCTCCTGCAGACAACCCAGGTTGAGCGAGTACTGAGGCCTATGCAAGTTTAAGGTCTGTTTTAGAAAAAGAATATTCTATTCAAAAATAGAAACAGATGCATTCACATCAGGAAAGAAACGAGAGATTACAAATGTTAAAGAGTTGACCCTACAACGCAAAATCCAGACCAATGATGTGCTTGTGGTGATGTCCTGACACGTTTCTGTCATGCGTGTTCTTCTGAACCCCCTGGCTTCTGACTCTGACAACCTCTATGTAGGATGACAGGTTTGTCATATGGGGGACATACTCTATATAGAAAATTGAAAAATACCTCAGTCTTCCTTCTAACATGGTTGATTGACATTTGTGTTTTAATTTTTGATAGTTTAGGAGATTCCTCTCCTAACCTGTTACTGATGATATCCCATCAATGGTCTGGATGGTTTTCAAATTCAGAAAACTGTCAGCTTGTCTTCACATAGAAGCTGTGGAATTTGGAAGAATTTCTCAAAGATGGGCTCGTGGCTCCACAGATATTTCAAAATTTGTTTTCTTTCCGTGGCCCACAATTTTTCTAGCACTGGGCACTGTGGGGGCAGGTTCTAAATGCAATACGATCCTGTATTTCTGTCCTGACCAGGAGCTCTGACCTGGCAGGAGGTTCCTGGAGGACTCCTGTACCAGGATAGGAACAATAAGTGAACCACACACAGGAGTGGAGCAAACCACATTGGGTCCCTCTAAACCCAAACCAAGTGTGTCCCTGAGGTAGACTTGGAGCTGTGCCACCCAGGTCCCCCGGCAGGGAAGCCTGCTACTGCCAGCCACCGAGAAGGCAGCCGGCAGATGCCTACCTCAGCTGCAGAAGGGCCTCATCACAGCTGGTTTTTGCCCTTGGCCCAACCTTTTCCCACCCTCCCACAGATACCGACCTTGACTCCCTGGTAAACATCCTAATCTCACTCTTGGAGTCTGCTCTCCAGAGAACCCGACCTGGAAGAATCCCCAACCCACCTTCCTCTTGGCTGAACCCCCAAACTGTTATAACCTCTTCAATGTCTCCTATAAGAGGAGAGGTAGTGTGGAGGGGTTGACTGGGAAAGGACAGAGGTTCTAACTGAATGCAGTTAGAATATCTTCATTTTGCGAGTGTAAAAAAAAAAAAAAAAGACTTGGGGCGCCTGGGTAGCTCAGTTGGTTAAGTGTTTGCCTTCAGCTCAGGTCATGATCTCGGGGTCCTGGGATCGAGCCCCACATCGGGCTCCCTGCTCAGCAGAGGGTCTGCTTTTCCCTCTCCCTCTGACCCTCCTCCGGCTTGTGCTCTCTCTCTCTGTCTCAAATAAATAAATAAAATCTTAAAAAAAAAAAAAAAGACTTGCCCTTATGGACACACTACTGGGGGTCTTCCCAAGACCCGGAAGAGAAAGGCATTGAAGCTTAGGATTCATCAGCCTCTTGCGAGGCTCACTTCTACATTCTCCAAGGTTCAGTGAGCACCCACTGCTTGCAGGTTCCATTGCGGATACCAGGATCCATTGAGGTACAGAACAGAAAGGGCTCCCCCCTTACCCATTCACAAATGGGAGGGTGGGGTAGTAGTGGTGGTGGTGAAACCAACTAAAAAAAAGCAATTCCTCTGCAGAGGGGTGTGCTGGCCTAGTCAGAGTGGAGCAGACATGGACTGACTGTGGGCACCTGAAGAAAGAGTGAGGTGACTAGAGTAGGGGGCAGTGCTCCAGTCAGAATGATAAGCCTAGTGGAGAGGGTGGGGATGGACCTTGGCCTTGTCCAGGAACTAGAAGATGGTCAGAATTCCAGTGGAAAAGGAACTCTGAGGAGTAAGAAGGAGCAGGCTGGCGAGGCAAAGGGGTTGGTACCTCTTAGTGAGGGTGTTGTGGACAAAACAATGGCCCCTCAAGATGGCCATGGAATCTGTGGATATGTTACAGTACATGGCAAAAAGAACTTGGTGGATGGAATTAAGGTTAAAGACCTTAAGGAAGAGAGATTATTCTGGATTATTTTGCTGGGCCTAATGTAATCACGTGAGCCCTTAAAAGTGATGAAGAGGGCAGATGAGTTGGTCAGATTTAAATTGTGAGAGGTACTTGATCCTCTGTTTCTGGCTTTGAAGATCCCTTCCTTTGGAAGGTCCCCTCCACCATCCAAAAATCTGAGGAATTCAGGTGACCTCTGGAAGCTGGGAATGACCCTCTGGATATAGCCAACAAGAAAAACAGGAACCTCAGACCTACAACCACTCGGATCTAAATTCTGCCAACAACCCAAACGATCAAGGACACAAATTCTCTCCTAGAACCTCCAGGAAACACAGCCCTGCTGATGCCTTGATTTTAGCTCAATGAGATCCAGGTTGGACTTTGAGCCTACAAAATGGTGAGGTAATAAATTTGTGCTCTGAGTCATTGAGTTCCAAGTAATTTGTTATGACCACAATAGAAAGCTAATACCAATGTTGGTATCAAGAGCAAAGTACTACTGTAACAAATTCTAAAAATGTGGAAATGGCTTTGGAATTGAGCAGTGAGCAAAAGCTGGAAGAATGTCAAAGAGCATAATGGAAAAAGCCCAAACTGCCTTCAACTGTTAGCAGAAATCTTGACTTTAAAAATGCTGCCTGTGAGGACTCAGAAGGAAACGAGGAACATATTCTTGGAGACCAGGAGGAAGTAGGATGCTATGTAGCTGTAGAGAGCTTAGTGGAATTGTGTCCAGGAGTTGGGTGGGAAGCAGAACTTGTAAGCGATGAACTTGGACATTAAGTAGCAGAGCTTTCCAAGTAAAATGTTGAAAACAGAGCCTCAGCTCTTGTTAGTTATGGAAAAGTGCAAGAGGGGGGAGGAAGATTGAGAGAAAAAGGGTTAAAACAGAACCAGGATATTGATATTGGAAATTCTTGGCCAACTGTCCAAAAAAACACTTTCCCCCAAATTACTGGCATTGATACAATTCTAATCAAACCAGGTTTTTCTTTTAGGTTGACAAAGTACCATTTTTATAAATAGTTTGGAACAGGGTGTGACATCAAAAAAAGATGACAGAGTAGGGCTCTCCAGGAATCCTTCCTGCCACCAAAATAACTATTGAGCTAGCAGAGACCGTAGCAGGTTTTTGGAACTCTGAAGTCTAGTTGAACACTTGCAGCATCCAAGGGAGAGTTTAATGAAGAATTCAATTCAGTGAATTTCCTTGTTTCAACCCCCACAGGCTGAGGCAGCTTCCCAGCTGCAGGGGATTTAAGTAGATCTCGCTCTGCCCACCCCCACCCCACCTTCCTTTCGGGAGCAGGACATCTAAGGAAATCTTTGTGAGGTCACTGGCTGGCCAAAGTGATAATAGAATAGAAACTTCAGTTACTGCACACAACAAGGAATATACACTTTGTAAAAATAGTATGGAAAGATCATCAACAGATGGCTCCACCTCTCAACAAGCCGAAATCAGGATTCCCTGAAGAGTGAGAGAGTTCAATTTCCAGAATTGCCACATGTCATACTCAGAATGTCCAGTTCTCAACAAAATATTATGAAACATGCTAAGAAATGGGAAAATATGGCCTGTTCGCAGAGGGAAAAAAAAAAAAAAGGAACTTGACAGAAAACATCCCTGAGTAAGCCCCGGCAGTGGAATTATTAGTGAAAGGAAACCATGGACAAAGAGCTAAAGGAAATCAGAAAAACAATGTCTGAATAAAATTAGAATATCAATAAAGAGAAAATTTTAAATGGATCCAAGAGTGCTGCAGCTGAAGACTACAATAATGGAAATGGAGAATTAGAAGGGTTCAACAACACACTGGAGCAGGCAGAAGAAAGGATCAGTGAACTTGAAAGTAAGGCAAATGAAATTATCAAGTCTGAGGATCAGAAAGAAAAATGACGAAAAAATGTGCAGATCCCATAGAACACCATCAAGCAGAACAATATATGCATTGTGGGAGTTCTGGACAGAGAAGAAAGAGAGAAAGGGGCAGGAAAAAACATTTGAATAAATAATGGTCAACTCCTCCCCCCAAATCTGATGAAAAACATGAGTACACACATCCAAAAAGGTTGGTTTGGTGGTTTGAGGCTTAGCATAAACGACTCCACTTTGGGCCTCTTGTTTTTAACAATAAATATTGTATGATCCCACTTATACAAGATATTTAAAATAGTCAAGTTTATAGAGAGAGAAGGTAGAATTGAGATTACCAGGGGCTGGAGGAAGGAGGAGATAGTGAATTATTGCTTAATGGGTACAGTGTCTGTTTCGGATGATGACAAAGTTCTGGAAATAGATAGTGGTGATGGTGGCACAGTATTTTGAATGTAATCAATACCACTGAATTATACACTTAATGAGTTAAGATACTAAATTTTACATAAATGTTAGCACTATTTATTTTATTTATTTATTTTTAAAGATTTTATTTATTTGATTTGCGAGAGAGAATGAGAAAGAGAGAGCACATGAGAGAGGGGAGGGTCAGAGGGAGAAGCAGACTCCCTGCTGAGCAGGGAGCCCGATGCGGGACTCGATCCCGGGACTCCAGGATCATGACCTGAGCCGAAGGCAGTCGCTTAACCAACTGAGCCAGATTAAAAAAAAAAACAAAAACAAAAACCATGGGTGCCTGGGTGGCTCAGTCAGTTAAGCGGCCGACTCTTGATTTTGGCTCAGGTGCTGATCTCAGGCTCCTGGGACTGAGCCCTGCATCCAGCTCTGCACTCAGTGG